AATATCAAAAAATGCCACTTCCAGCATTCAAACTATCTCATATTTTGACTCTGCACAACATAAGTACATGTTTTTGTTTTGTCTATACACTGGAATGTATTACGTTTCTTCCCCTAGGCCTGAATAATAAATTAACAAAGTGTATATCTGACACGCAACAATCAGCTTGTGGTGACACAATCAAGACTGTGTGTGAGGTCTATAACATGATTAGAATGGGTTTTTGGGTCATCGTGAAGAGAAGCAAAGAGTAGAAAGCATGAAAGTAGCAATCAAACCAAACCAATAAAAAAGATTGGAAATGTATTTTTGACCGTTCTCAAGCTTAAATTCCCATCTTTTCCCGAGCAAGAAGTGACTTTGCAAAAAAAAAAAAAAAAAGAGTTGTGTGTTGTTGTTATCATCAAGGCTTTAAAATCATAGATGGATAAGTAGAACATTTCAGCGGTCAGTTCAAAGAAACAGAATTTAAGTCTGAACTGCAAGCTTTAAAGCCTGTTTACAGCAACAGCAATAAACTAGCTAGCTAGTTTTGAAGAAGTTGCTACTGATACTGTTTTTCAAGGAAGCCAAACATTTAAACTGGAAAAACATCTTAGCTGTCACAGACTCATTACTTGATAGGTTATTAAAAAATGATAGTTCTTTTGCTTCCTTTACTAAACTGCAGGATGTGAAGGCCAAGGAACCAGTAAGTACGAGAAGCTTGCCTCTTCATTAAAATAACCTTCTAAAAGCAGATCTTGTTGCTGAATATTGTCATTTTTAATATGACATCTCAGAAAAAAAAACAACCAACCAACAGTCACTGTCAATGACCAACATTTATTCAAGACGAGGAGTTACAAACTGCATTATATCTTCCTTAGTATTGAAATGACTTGATGGCTTTCCTTATAAATGATAGTAATGAAAAGTGAATGGAATAGTCAACATCTAAACTAAGCTATGAAATCTTAATGTGTAGGTCCCATGTTTAGTTTTCTTTATTAAATCTATTACTGTCTGAACCATTCTTGTTACATGTCTCTCAGACAATAAACCAGAATCTGACTGGATTATTCTTACCTGTAATTAGCTACCTGAAAATCAGCTATTTCGTTGAAGGTGGCCACATAGTTAATGAAAGAGAGAAATAGCTTCATCTGAGGATTCATCCCAATGATCATAGATGGTTTAGGCTGTGGTGACTTTCTCCTTGGAGGTCCACTCTCCTCTCATGACAAGGAGGACATTTGATGGTGACTTTATACTGAAATCTTAACTTCCAGATGCCAAAGTGAGATGAATTCCACTTCATATATGCAGAATCTGCTCTCCACTTTCTATGAGGAAAGCACAGCTTAACAAAAGTTATTCCCTAGTATTAACATCTTCCTGCATCCTGAAAGCAAGTCTTTAATAACTGTTATTCTGTGACTGACAGACAAGCTTCATTTTTGTTTGGCACTACCTGAATTAACTATGATTAAAGAATTATACAATAAATTTTACTTGAAAGGTCCATGGTAGGCCACATCAGTTTACTATTTTATAGTGGAAGATAATAAAGAACACTTGATTTTTTAGAAGATATTCAAATTCCGTGGTACTGTGAGATTATAAATGATTTGCTAATTCTTTTTAGATTAAAAAGAAAGATCAAAAATTTAGTGAGACTACTGAATAAAAATGAGGATAATATATGTTGTGACAAACACATGGAAAAATTAATGAAAGAATTTGCACTTTACAGTTCTGTTTTGATCCAAGAATTACAGCGATGCTCAGAATTTCTTTTTTATTCTTCTCTGTAAATGGTAACCATATTATTACAAGGTGTATGTTACATATGCTATACATAAATACATATATTTACAAGTATATATTTTCATGTATAAACTACTTCTTCGTGTACTTGCATCTACATACACTGTCCATTTCTGCAGTGCTACTACTAGGTATGGACTTCAGTATGTTAATACACTATAGAGAAGGTAAAGAAATACTCTTCCCAAAACCACTCGATAGAACATCTGGGTAGACAGGTGCATTGTAACTGAAAAAATAACAGGGGGTAATAAACAACTAGAAAATGATTGAAAACAGTAATTTAAAAATGTTATTTTATGTCCATATTGTTTGCAGAAATCCTGTCGAGATTGCTTTATAATAAACAAAGTATGTCCATCAGGAGCT